TGTGAAGAATCAGGAGCATTGATCCGCTCCTGTGAAGCAGAGAGTCCTCAGGGAGGAGTGTAGTACTGAGGAGACACCTCACTTCAGATGGCTTCATCCTGAGTGTTTATGATGGCTCTTATCATCTCTCTCTGAGGACTCTGCTGCTTTATGAAAGTAAGATTAAAAAGTCCAGGCTGAAAGAGAGAGAGGGGTTTGGTCATGATGAATGGAGATAAGGAGGCAGATGTGGACTGGAAGGAAGATATACGTATGAAGGAGTTTACTGTAGACCCAGTGGAACCTTTTATTGCTCTGGGTTGTGTTTTCATAGCCCAGAAGACCTAATGGAGGTCTCAGTTATCTTTATGATATCCTGATCTTAAGTATCAACTTATATGTTTCAGGCATGTCTCCCAAAACCCCTTCGAGGGAAAAAAAGACCACTGATTAGGGATGTAACAATTTGAAAATCGATTCAAAATGTGACGATTCAAATCGTTTGAGATGCTAAACAAATCGCGATTCCATTAGGTGTAGGAGTTTATATGAATGCATGTCTGAGGGGAACTTACTGTCTTTAGAAAAGTGTAGATGGTATTTTTTTTCTTTTCATCTCGTCATAAGTGCAGCGCTGCTTTGTTTACAGCGGAAACCAAGGAAATGCTTTAAGCGCCACCTGCTGCAGAGAGTGCATCTGCGTCTCGTTCAGCTCGTCCGCTGTTTCTGTTTCATGCAGATCTTTTTTTTATGTATAGTTTCACAAAACTGAAGTCAAATCATTCTGCTTTTGCTTCAAATTTCGAAATTATACAATCTAATTTAGATTAAAAACTGCTCATGTTGCATGTATGCAGCATCTTTGTTTGGATTGTGATTAAAATGCAGTGGTTGCCTCTAATTTTAAATGGAAAGAGCACAGACAAAGCCTTAGTTTGTTTATATGAAGAGATTGGACCCCCTTTATATTAAGTGGCCTTAACAACTATGTACTTACATTTAAATTAATAATTTGGTACAATGCACTTATTGTGTACATACATGTTATTTAGCAGATGCTTTTATCCGAAGCGACTTACAAATGAGAACAATAGAAGTAGGGATGCACCGATATGAAAATTTTGGCCGATACCGATAACCGATTATTCTTTATTTTTGAAAGCCGATAACCGATATGTTGGCCGATAAATCTATATCCAAATTGTTATATACTTTTTGAGAGCCTGATTACAAAAAAGGTCTCATCATTAAAAGCCGCAATCAAAACCAACACAAGAGCAACAATATGCAAGCGCTATATTAGTATATTATTATAGTGTTATATTTCAATTTCACAAAGAAGCATGCAGCATTTTGTCCAAGCAATAATAAAAGGACACATTTAATTTATAATTTGTCTTGAATCTCATTTTGTTAAAAAAATCGTGAATCGAATCGAATCGTGACTTGAGTGAATTGTTACATCCCTACCGCTGGTTGTTGTACATTTTCTAATTGCTTTATATTAAATGAAACACAGCTATTGAACTGGTGTTTCACATCATAGGCGTTACTATAGTTTGTATTTTTGCACGGTTGGAACACTGTATTGACCAATCAACATCCAGAATCATAGCTACAGTATGCATATTATACTACAGGATACGGGTGCTTCTCAATCAGAAGGTTGCATCCTATTGGGGTCAACCATCTGCGACATAATCAGCTACCATCGAAGGTCGTCTCAGTTTGAAGGATCCCATTTTGCATTTGCAATTGTGCATATTTTGAAGGGTGTATCAAGCATATACCGTTGGTGTCATCCAATCACCCACAATCCTCTGCACACATTCCAATTAATAAAAATAAATAAATAACTGACAGTATTAAATCGCCACTGAGCTTGTCCAATTTCATTGTAATGCAAGATTATTATTGTTTGATTATGTATTGATAATGTTTTCTCCTGTTTTACTCTAAATCACATAATACTAATTTTGCCATGATGTAAACCACTGGGAGGCCACCAATGGTTGCCATTCGCTGTGTTGTATTAAGAGAAAGTTGGTTAATATGAAGTATTTTCCCAAAAATATTTTTGTTATAGTATTTTTATGCCGTAACCGTGTGAGAGGCAACCTTTATGACATAGCCATGTGGACTTTGTGTGTATTTCCTGTTTAAAACCGCACTAATAAAAACGTAATACATTTATTTCATGCTAAGTATAGTTCAAGTCTATTAACTATAAACTTTATTTTACTTGTGCTTTATTTGACTTTTTTTACTTGTGCACATTGCACATTTTTAATATTAAACCTAAAATGTGTTTGATGAGAACTGTATGATCTTTGAATAATGTCTTTAAATGCAAGATATTTAAAGTGTACCTGAAGTATAGTTCGACTTAAATATACTTCAGCATATCTTCAGTTGGACTTCAGCACTACTTCCACACAATTAAAGTGCATTAAGTACAAAATTAGTTGTTGCAATTTAGCAGACTTTAAATATACAAGTTTAGTATGCCAAAAGTACAATTGCAGGTTTTTGTATCAAGTACATAAATGCATGCATGTAAATGTCTTTGTAGGCTAGTATACTACTACATTTAAATGAAATAAATGTATTTCAAATACATTTTAGTATATATATTTTTTTCACTAGGGTGTTTAATACTGTGGAAATGTAATGAGTGATGAGATTGCAAATGAAATAACATCACTTTTTCTCATTCTCAGGGTCTTTCAGAAGTGAAGGAATTAAAGCGTCTGATGTCCTCCCTGTGCTGAGAGAAAAAGTAGCATTTGTATCAGGTGAGTGTGAGATCTGTGAGATGTTTTGAGTGTGAATGACAAAAAACAATTTCACCCTGATGTTATTTGCTCACACATTTTGAAAATGACTGATGTTTGACACTGAGCCTTTCTCATTTGGCTCTGGTGTCGGTGGTGCATCCAGCTACAGCACATCCAGATCTGTAATGATCTGTTCTTAAAGGGGTCATATGATGCTATTTTAAAGATCATTATTTTGTGTATTTGGTGTAACAGAATATGTTGACATGCTTTAATGTTCAAAAAACACATTATTTTTCAAATACTGTACATTATTGTAGGTCCTCTATGCCCCGCCTCTCTCAAACATGTAGTTTTCAACAAAGTCCCTCCTTCCGACAAGCGCAGTCTGCTCTGATTGGCCAGCTGACCCAGTGCATTGTGATTGGCCGAACACCACAAGCACGCGTTATAACAGATACTTAAATTAATAACAAAACATACTTACAGTCGCTGATTCAGAAGCGCCAGATTGTCATAGCAAAGGCAGAATTGGCCCTTTTTTTTTTTTTTTTGAAATAGCCTTTGTGCACAGCCAGCCTTGTACTCTTCTAGGTTAAAAAAAACTGTCGTCTATAAAATGCGTTGCACAAATTCGAACATCTGGGTTGTGCTGTTCTGTTGTAAATATATCTTAACCAATGATTCCTAATTGCATCTACTTCCGGAAGGCCAAATAAAGTGCTTTTGCTTTCGCACTGAAACACACAGCGTCTCCCTGACATGCTGCATCAACACGACTGCAGTTACTGAAACCAGCCTTCTTTCTTTGCGTGCACATTTGGGTCGGCATTATGCTAATATTTCCACATCATGACGTAGATATGTGGGGGCGTGTTAGAACGAACCGTTTTAGGTAGGCGTGGCTGACTCTTAACTTTTATAAATAATATCTCTTTGGATTTGAGACTTCAGTCTTTGCAACTTTACAGATCTTTTTTATGCACCAAGAGCTTGTAACGCTCCAAAGAGAAAGGAAATTGCATCATATGACCCCTGTGGAGGGGTTTTCTCGAAACTTTGCAGATTTCAACCTGCGGCTGTTTCACATGTTAACAGCTGGCTGAATTTAGTGAGCTTGTTCAAGCATGCCATGCAGAAGTCAAAATATTGGATTTGAGGCACAGTGATTTGTGTGCTAGTTAATCTTGTGAGATGTGAGATACAGCAGCCATCAAATGCCTATAATGCAACCACTGTCTGTCCGTCTACAATAAAATTTGAATGCTTAGTGATGTGAAACTGCCATAATGAGCTTTGTATGAGTTCTCTCTTACCTACGTGTATGAATGAAATCAATCTCAAAATCAAGGTGTTCAGGACACTTTATTTAGGGAAAAATGAGGGATGAATCTCTAGGGGTGTCAGTGATAATTTCTCAGCACAATCTCTTCCTGTTTTTTGCCTTCTTCCTTCCTTTCTCTCATACACATTTTTATCATGGATCCTGTTCTCTAGCCCCCATTTTTTCCCACTATTTCCTATAGCTGCTTCTAATGAAAGTTTGGTATAAAAGTTTAGTAAGCCTAAATATGAGCAATAGCAATAGGAATGTAGTAACGCTTGCTATAGATAACACAGATGATGCTACCTTCTAAGACTTATTTAGGCCATAATAGAGATAGTATGCAATTTATGGTAAAAACTGGCAGTTGTGGTGGCTAGAAATTAACCATAAAAAAGGTATGGTGAAAATGTTTTCAGTATTACAGGATGGCATAATGAGGCCTGTATAACTCACAATTTATAACTGTATGTTTCATTAAGTGATATAATGTTAATTTACTGTCAAAGGTACAGATAGCATTTGCTTTTCCTCCCACCTCATATTATTTCCATCACAAAAGTGTACCCAAAGTTTCTCAGAGCAAAGCAAGAGTCTTGCAAGTGAATGCAACGTTTCTCAGGGGAAGAGAACGAGAGAATGCAAACGTGTTGAACTATAATGTTTCATTCCATCTCATCTCTGTATATTTATTTAAAAAACTATTTAAATTTAAATATATGTAATGTGTCACTCAAGGACTTCTGGGAATGTCCTTTTACTATGTTTAACAATAAATTATACAGTGATTCATAGTCTGTACTTCCAAAACACATAATAAAATTGCATATGTTAAATGATTTCCTTTTTTTCTTGCAGGAGGTCGTGATAAGAGAGGTGGCCCCATCCTGATCTTTCCTGCCAGGAGTAATCATGACCGAATAAAACAGGAGGACCTGAGACGACTCGTAACGTACCTGTCCACTGTGCCCAGGTGAGCTTAATGTTAATGTGTGGATCAAACAAACTACAGAGCAGACTTTAGCATTATGGATGTAATTCTGTATAAACGGGTCTCTGCTCTGCCCTCCTGGGCTGTTTTCAGAGCAGATAGTCTCAGCTCTTGCGTTACAAGAATCATACGGCATAGTACAATATTAGTCTGCATTATGTATCTTATTAAAGGATCACAGTGTAAAATATTCACAGCGCAGGAATTTGAATAAACTCTGCCTTAATGTGGTTTTGTTCTCTATGCTCCTCACTGAGAGAATTATTCAAGAACAAGCATTTACATTCCCACAGTGAAAAGTTGTGTTTGTAAAATTGGAAGTTGAATAATAGCATAACTCTAGTTCGACATGTCTCTGATTAGCTGTGTTGCTTGGTAATTGACATGATATGTCTAAATCTGAAACGTTTATTATTATACATGCAAGCTCATATTATCTAGTGTACATTTAAAAATGAATCGGTACAGTATTTTCAGGTTCTTATGTAAATGCATATTAATTGTAGCCTGAAAATATATGGACAACCTAATAATTTAAACCATAAAAATTTAAAGTTATTGAAGTAATGGATTTCAAAGATACCCAGGTACCTTAGCAACCGCATAGCAATACTCTAGCAACCGACCCGGGTACCTTAGCAACCGCATAGTAACACCTTAGCAACCACATAGCAACACCCTAGCAACCGCCTAGAATACCCTAGCAGCCACTCTGAGGTCCTTAGTATCTATCTATCTATCTATCTATCTATCTATCTATCTATCTATCTATCTATCTATCTATCTATCTATCTATCTATCTCAGACTGTATTGCCTTTAAAACATTACAACTTTAAGCTTTTAAAACTACTTTAAACGTCAAACTATTTCAGACTGCAAACTATAAAACTTAAAACTTTTTTAAACTTCTTAAACTTTTCAAACTTTTTAAAGGGGTGGTTCATTGAGATTTCACTTTTTTAACGTTAGTTAGTGTGTAATGTTGCTGTTTGAGCATAAACAATATCTGCAAAGTTACGAAGCTGAAAGTGCAATGCAAACGGAGATATCGTCTTTTAAAATTCTGGCAGTTTAATGCCTACAAAAACGGCTGGTAGGGACTACAACAAGTTACTTCCTGGGTTCGTGACATCACAAACCCAGATAAACCCCGCCCTCGGGAAAAGGCAGCAAAAGGGTTGAGGCCATGCTGCGCTGCTTTAGAGAAGAGGAAGAGAAAACTAGAGGTGCACGTAAAAATCTGTTCATATATGAATCGCGATTCTGTCTTCTAACGATTCTAATGGATTCACAAGATTCAAAATCAATGTTCTAAAGCAGCGGTTCTTAATACTGTTCCTCGTGTCCCCCTGCTCTGCATCTCTCTCTCATTCAGCTCAGCTCCAACAATGAACTATTACAATTATACACTTATTTTCACATATAGCTATGAGAAGCATTAAACATGGACGTGCATACGGTTGCTGTACTATAAAACTGTATTTTGAAAGCTAACATAAGTAGTAGCATTTACAACAGCGTATCTAAAAGTATGAGACAACAATAAAAAAAACATAGGCCTACCATTAAAAGCCTTGCTTGCACAGGTTCTGCACGATCCTCTTCAATAATATCGGACTCAAACTGATAAACGATATTAACGACACCTTGTTTGCAATACAACCGGAGCACATGCCGCTATGTTGAGGGGCGGGACGTTTCGACTCGTAAATTAACACCAAACGTGATTTATAAATAGAGACTGGACAGTTGGCCAAATATAAGATTGGAAAAATAAAATATGGTCAAAGTCGTGAAGTATGAAAATAAAAGTGTCTGTCCCCTCAACACTGAGAAAGTTTGGTGTAGAAATCATCACATGCTGAATTAAAATAAGATATAATGGCCGTGAATTAACAATTAGTTCCCAAAACATTCATTTATGGTCACATTTTATTCATTCGTTTACATTCACTACATTCAGTTTATGTAATGGAACAAAACGTCTAATTATCGTCAAGTTATGTTTACCACAGACCTTATATTGCTCAGGAATTGAAAAAAAACCCATAGGAAAATCTCAAAGGAACTGTTGCCTTAACTACTATGTACTTACATTTAAATTAATCATTTGGTACAATGCACTTATTGTGTACATACATTTTTTTACATTGTACTTATATTTTAACAAATGCCTGCATGTGATTACATTTGTAATTAATTTATGTAATTACATTTATACTTACACTGTTGACCCATCGCTTACACCTTAACCACCAAACCTGTCCCTAACCTCACCCGTATGATATCCTGCCTCAATAGCAGCAAAAGTGATTTACAATACAATATGAACAAAATAAGTACATTGTACTTATTTTTGATGTAAATCCATAGTAGTTAAGACCACTTAATATAAAGTGGGACTGAAAAATAAAACAAGAGATGAAGAGGTCTGTGATGGCATTTGGTGAACGTTAAGTTCTTTGTTTTTCTTGAGTTAGTTTGTCTGGGATGAAGATTCGAGGCTGTGTTAAGTGTTTATGTCCAGCTATTGAATTACTCAACACAAAGTCGACAGTGTGGCTTTGGCAGTAGTTCATCCCATCGCAGGAGTAAAGTGTTAGAATTTACGGCTGTTGTTTTTGACTTGATTCCCACACAGACCTCAGAATGGCAGGAACTGAAAGAGGCTTATATGTGCCATTATGTAGTTCCTAAACACACAGTGTTTTTACTGACTTTCTGTCATTTTTATTTCCTCTTTGAGGCATACGGAAATCTGTGCGCTGTTAATTTTACCATCACTGAAGCACTGGTGAGTTATATTTATCTTCCTATCTCTGCGCGCTACTTCAAAAGCATGAGCCAGAAATAGAAGCCGAGCTGTTTCCGCTTAAGCTGATGAGAACAATCCTCGAGGAACATTTTAAATGGTGTCTAAACAAATCCCCCTGTTCAATTCAGCTTGCTAACCCCCCTTCAGGCTATGATTCATGCCCTGTGCTTCCTGCGCTGGCATATGATATAGTGTGTGTGACACGCTCTTTTGATTCTTGTCTGCGTTCATGTTCGCCTTAAAATGAGTATTCTGTCATCGTTTGCTCACCATCATGTCAATCTAAACCGGCATGACTGACTGGAGCACAAAAAGAGATGTTTTAAAGAATGTAGGCATACTAAAAAAAGCATCATAAAAGTATCTTTTACAACCTTCATCTTGTGCTCTACAAGTTCCAAATAGAACAAAATGATATGGCTTTGGAACAGCGGGTTTATTAGTGGCTAAGCTGGATTTGAAATTAACACCAAACGTGATTTATAAATAGAGACTGGACAGTTGGCCAAATATAAGATTGGAAAAATAAAATATGGTCAAAGTCGTGAAGTATGAAAATAAAAGTGTCTGTCCCCTCAACACTGAGAAAGTTTGGTGTAGAAATCATCACATGCAGAATTAAAATAAGATATAATGGCCGTGAATTAACAATTAGTTCCCAAAACATTCATTTATGTTTACATTTTATTCATTCGTTTACATTCACTACATTCAGTTTATGTAGTGGAACAAAATGTCTAATTATCGTCAAGTTATGTTTACCACAGACCTTATATTGCTCAGGAATTGAAAAAAAAACCCATAGGAAAATCTCAAAGGAACTTGTGGCGAAATGTTGCCTTAACTACTATGTACTTACATTTAAATTAATCATTTGGTACAATGCACTTATTGTGTACATACATTTTTTTACATTGTACTTATATTTTAACAAATGCCTGCATGTGATTACATTTGTAATTAATTTCTGTAATTACATTTATACTTACACTGTTGACCCATCGCTTACACCTTAACCCCCAAACCTGTCCCTAACCTCACCCGTATCATATCCCGCCTCAATAGCAGCAAAAGTGATTTACAATACAATATGAACAAAATAAGTACATTGTAGTTAAGTTAAGTAGTAGTTAAGACCACTTAATATAAAGTGGGACTGAAAAATAAAACAAGAGATGAAGAGGTCTGTGATGGCATTTGGTGAACGTTAAGTTCTTTGTTTTTCTTGAGTTAGTTTGTCTGGGATGAAGATTCGAGGCTGTGTTAAGTGTTTATGTCCAGCTATTGAATTACTCAACACAAAGTCGACAGTGTGGCTTTGGCAGTAGTTCATCCCATCGCAGGAGTAAAGTGTTAGAATTTACGGCTGTTGTTTTTGACTTGATTCCACACAGACCTCAGAATGGCAGGAACTGAAAGAGGCTTATATGTGCCATTATGTAGTTCCTAAACACACAGTGTTTTTACTGACTTTCTGTCATTTTTATTTCCTCTTTGAGGCATACGGAAATCTGTGCGCTGTTAATTTTACCGTCACTGAAGCACTGGTGAGTTATATTTATCTTCCAATCTCTGCGCGCTACTTCAAAAGCATGAGCCAGAAATAGAAGCCGAGCTGTTTCCGCTTAAGCTGATGAGAACAATCCTCGAGGAACATTTTAAATGGTGTCTAAACAAATCCCCCTGTTGTGTTCCAAGATGATAATTGGTAGAAGAGATTCTGAGTGATAGCATTTATATGGAAATTCAAGAACCAAAGTGGTTTAAATGCAATAAAGAGGCCAAATGTGCAGCACTTTATGGTCTGAAGGACACGCTAGTACTCCTGTACACACTCTCTTGCTCTCTTTCATTGTCCTTTTCTCTGGGTCAAGTGACACATTTAATATGAGTCAGACAGGGATCCTCATCAAAAGTGGCCTACACTCTCAGCGTTTTGTATAAGAAGCTCATAGAAGACAACATTTAGCATTTGAAAAGATTTCAGGACCGTTTCAAAGTTTTCATGATCATGTCATAATCCGTTCCAAAAATGTTATAAAGGCTGAAAACTATACATATACATGAGCAGGGGAGGACCTAACCAATAAGTGAGGTAAGCAGCTGCTTAGGGCCCCAGGGAATCACGGGGCGCCATCTGATATTGGCAAAACAGATACTCCAGAG